GAACTTTACTATATATATATATATATATATAGAACTACTGTAAACTCATCCTTTTGTAACAAATTGATTTCTTTGCAAGAAAGAGCATTATTTTAATATAAAGAAACGATTTAAATAAAATTTAGATTGTAAAAATAAACTATAGACTCTCTCTCCTGTGAAGACAGATTTCATATCAGTTCATGTCCAGGTGCATTATATGCATTAGTTTAAACGGATGTTTATGCCTTACAACACTATAGTCTGAGGTATCGAAACATATACAAGGACGTATAGTTTAAATGATCTTGATGGCTATTTCATTCCGACTCGTAAACACCTACGATTGATAAAAATCTGAACAATAAAAAGCGGCGTATATACACCTTTTAAGGAAAGGAATATATATAGAACAAAATAAACAGAATACCGCTCAAAATGTGCTTTAAATGTTGTGGCGTGGCATTAGGGATGGATAGGGGTATTTGAAGGGAAAAACTATCTGTAAGCAGTTAAACTGTTGGTAAAGACAGTTTTAAAGTCCTTAAGTGTCCTTTTATGATTGCTGTTCTGCAGAGGGATGACTCTAAATTTGGATGGTAACTGGTAGAGAATTATTTTCATGAATCAATTGCATTTTGTGGGGACCTCACCTCTAGAGGGAAACTAAGTTGTGTATGAGTCTCAGGTTAAACAACAATGGCAACCTCTGACGATCGGCTAGGCTAGTTAAAGCATCTAAGCAGTAGTAGACGGAGGGCCATACCTCCTCAGCTTCGCCACTCAGCTCCTTCACAAATGTCCTCCTCACCCAAGTAATTGAAGTGTTTAGTGAAAAGCAGAGTAATAGCGACACAATGGAAACTGAAAATACACAAAATGCCCAACGAAATTTGATGAAAATTGAATTATGACAAGATAGCTTCACCTTACAAAGTTTCAAGGCATACACACTTCAGTATTTCATTGAGTATTTTCCCTTTTTGTTGAATTTGATGCATCGCTCTATAAATTGATGGATGCGTATAAACACAAACTAGAGGCGCTGTAAAGAAATGAATTGTGAACTAAAAGATTTCAATGGAGGAGTTGTTGATTCAAAAATCATGAGTACGAATATAACTAAAAAACAACGACAACAGATAGACAGAAAAACAATGGTTGATGAGTAGACGTAAAGAATATCACTTAGACCTGCTCACGGAAAGTGAACTCCTCAGATAAGCTGCATCATTGCACACATGTTAAGAAGAAAAGCAAGAAGACTCATCCCTTCTAAATCGCTTTGGATCCTTCTCAGGACTGTCTGTCGACACATCGTTGCAAGTATCTCGCGCTTCCATCATGCTTTTAGGCAACTCGAAAGGCGTCGACGGTGACAAAATCGCTTCCGCAGTTGCAATTAGTTCAACTTTAGTTAAAAATGTGTCGTGTGCATTACGAATTAAAGAAAAACCACTATCCTTCCACTCTACAAATTCAAGATACTCAGAATCCTTATTTATGTTTGAGGATCCATTGGGATTATAATGATCACTTGTCGATGGCACCGCATGTTTCTTTTCCACACGCAAAAAAGCAATGGCTTCCCTTACCTCGTTAGGCTGGAGTTGACCGATTTTTTCGGATTTAAGGGAAGGTTTCTTTCGTATGCGTACACCTTTATTATCTCGTGCAGACGTAAAAATGCTACCTTTTGGAAGTGGTAGATATTGTGTTTGTTCGTCTGATATCATATAAGGAGCTTTGGATATACACATGGGGTCCACCTCGACAAGAAATGGAAGCCCACTTGCACCAGCAATCTTGGACCACCCCCAAATCCAGTGATTACCACAGGAAATTAACCCGTAGGTTTCGACGTAGGAAAAATAAGTTGGATCGTCCGGCAGGTAAATCAAGGCGTACTGCTCGCCAGTGAACTTGTCCTTTTTGCGCCCGAAGCTATGCACTTCAAGCCCAAACGGAATCTCCCCCACCACATCGGAGTAGCGATGGGGGTACCGTCGAACCCGAACCACCTTGTCCGCTCTGGCAGGTTTGTAGCCACGAAAGTAAAACTTCACCTCATCCATCAACCCAACAGACCCGTCGGACCACCTTACCCAGCTCCCATCCGCCCTGACGGCGTCCGCCTCCTTCACGTCGCCTGGGAGCAGGGGCCTGGAGGCCGCCGCGGGGCGCTCCACCACCGTCCCCTCCCGCACGTAGCTCCGGAGCTCGAACCACCGTCGCACGAGCAGCGGGCGCCACTCGGGCTCCTCCTCGAAAAAGGGCAGCCCCACATTCAGGCCGGCCAGGCGGACCTCACGGACCCCTCTCAGCTCCACCCCCTCGGCGTCTTCGCGGGGACGCGTCTCGGGCCTCGGCCCGGCCGAGGACCCGCGCGCCCCCCCCCGCGAAGGGGCCTTGGAGGGGGCGATCGCGCTCGCGAGGCGGTGGTGGACCGCCTCCCGGGCCACGTGCCGCGGGGCGATCAGCACCCCCACTTTACTCCCCGCCGCGAGCTCCCAACGCTGCTGCAGGCAGGGTACCGTGTGAACCCCCCCCTCTGGATTCCCCCCGGCAAGAATATAGGGGATGGATAGGGCGTTAACCTCGTCCGAGGGTTTGGAGCTTTTGGCAGGCAAAACGTACGCCCACACAACGAAGGACGTGGCGGCTTGCGTCAGGTCCAACTCGATATTGGTTATGATGGTCCGGCGAAGGACACGAAAACAGACGAGTGGGCCGTTCTTGGAAAAGATCCATGGCGCGGGGACACACCGATCCATAAAGAGGGCTAATTACGGAAAAGAAATAAATATCGTGAAAAAAACCACTTAGTGGGTTCCGTGGATTCTGGCGATGTGATAAAAATGCCTCCTCGTTTTGTTGAATTCCCTCCGATTTTTTTCAAAAAATGTGGTCTTCACATAAGGAACAAAATAAAACATGGAAAGAAAGATCTATCAGAGACGCATGCAAACGTAAACAAATGCAGCATGGAAATGTTATGGCATCGTCTTTTTGGTGCAATGACTTTTAGTATCACTAAATCGCTACTAGGGTTTAATCCATTTATATAATCGTATGAAATTTACATGGCTACTTTTTTAAAACTGTAATTGAAAACTATTCTCTAATTTAATACATTTTTCCGTCGTTTTGGGTTTGTCCGGCCGTCATTTGAAGTATCGTTAGGGCGAGAAGAGCTCGCGTTGTCTACATATGCGAGTGACAGCGCATTCACAAAGAAAGTCTTCTGATTTATTTAATTCCTAATCCACTTGATACCACGATAGGCAGCTTACTCAACGTACCTCATTAACATACCGGCGAACCTGGATAACCTTCACGTTGATTTTCACCGCGGAGAGATGATGCTATTGGAAGAAAGATGATGTCATTCTCATGCAAAGTTACAGTACTGAGAAGAGGTACCTAATTTCACTATTTTTTTCCTTTCTCTTTAGGAGGTTTCGGACGGGATGCGGCTTTTATTAAACCTAAATCCAACGGCGAACGCTGTTTTTGAATACACTCGATGCGTCGTTGGTTTTCGGACTTAGGTTCATCAAGTTCCTCAAGGTTCGAAAAAAACACCTTATTATTTACACCAGTCAGGTCCCGATGGTGTGGCTTGCAGTATTGGGTAGACATGGTGGGCAAAAGGTGAGAATACTTTTGCAAGAAATCCGCTAAAGATTGATATAGAACGCGATCCTCTTCGATGGATATTTGCCGCACTGGACCGAACGTTTCACTGCTCGGAGATCTTTCGTGGAATGCCTCAATAGGAGCCGCCACTCCCTCAAGGATCGCCTGGTGACCTGTCGAGCTTGCAGTGGAACAGGAGCTCCGTGGCGACTCATCCACTATTGAGTCGAACAGTTGATTTGCGGGGTCCTCGGCGTCTGGGGTGGATTGCCGCCGCGTATCCGAATCCCCCTGCTCTTGCCCTGCCTCGTGATCCCGTGAGGGGGAAAAGCCAAGGTCGTGGGAGGCCCTGCCACTCGCCGCTTTATCGGCTTTGTCGTGAAAGCGTTCAAACCGCAGCGCGACGAAGCGCCAGCAGATGGCGTGGGCGAAGTCCGTCCGGTGGGGGACGGCGAGGCCGAGTTTGACGTCGAGCATCCGGTGGCCCAACCGCTGGTAGGCCTGCTTGTAGTCCAAGATGAGGTCGAAAAGGGTGGAGAAGGTCAGGGGCTTGTACATGAGCGTCCGCTTGCGACTTAGGCCCAGGGTGCCGTAGAGCGGGGTGGGGTTGCGAAGGTGCACCACGAGGACGATATGGCTATAACGCGTGCGCTTGACCTGGGTGCGGAAGGACAAGGGGATCCGCATCACGTCTTTCAACCCTTGGGTGAGGTAGAGCGCGACGAAGGTCGCCTCCAGACAGCGAATCGGCAACGCCTCCTGGAGCGTCTCTTTACCCGTCATGAGGATACTCCGCAGAGGACGATGCTTCTCTAAATTAAAAAAGGTCTGCGGGAGACGGTTGTAGCAAAGCAGATTAATCTGCTGCTGAATATAGGGAAGCCGCTCCGCAGAGGAAAGATGGCTAGGAATGTTCTTTTCATCAGGGCGCAGCGGATCAATAAGATCAGGAACTCCACTAAAGGGGTTTTGGCGACTAAGCTGCTCCATAACTTGTAACACTCGATCTGAAGATGCCATTTTTCACTTACCAACCACCTGTGGAGAAGGAGAAAGTGGTAATTATTGCTTAATTTTGATGGCGGTCAAATCTACATTAAGTATAATTCTACAATTAAAATTGTCAACATGCAAGGGATGCTATCCAGTTGTAGTGAATTAATAGTACAAAAAAAAAAGGTCAAGGAAAGGTTAGCGAAGGTTAGAGCTCTGGCAATTTGAAAAGTGTTGTTTACCGAGGTACAAAGGTTGAACACAGTCTAGCTTTGGCGTTCAAAGTTGGGGATTTTATAATGAATGAAATTATCTTTACGCCGTCATTAATCGTCTTAAATATAACAGTGATATTCGTAAGAATAATAAATAAAAAAACTACACTAGAATGCGCAAGAGCAATTAGACTCACTTGAACATAAACCGCTATTAGTCTGAGGCGTAAAAGTACAAATTCACGCATTAATAATGACTCAATGTTACTTTGTACACCAGGGTTTGTGAGTTGACTTGCATCCATAACAACACCGTTCGAGAAATTACAAATACCATTCCAGTTTATCCGAATCGTGCTCTTTCTTCCGAAACCACTCGTACTCACCAAATTGAGCATCAAAAGTGCTGAGTTGCAAAGATAGCAACCGAAGCGTGAAGCGCGGCCCCATCTCCTGCAGTCGCACTGCCTCCAGGCTATCGAAAATGTACCGGTGTGTACGCAGAAAGATGTAATCACGCTGGTTGTGAAAGGTTGCTACCGCGCGACCGGCATAATCTCGCGTGCTAGGAAACAAGCATTCAAACATCCTGGAAATGCGTCGACCTAACCGAGTATCAAAGTTCTTCAAAATCAGCTCTGGATAATGTTTCGTTCGCGGTGCCGGATTTTCAAGTTCCTTATAGGTTAGGAAATTGGAAATTCGAAAGAGTGCGGTTGGTCCCTCGGGGAGATGTGATACTATAAGATTGTAGGGCTGCTTCAGACGGTCCGTTATGACGATCAGGTCGGTAAATTCTCGATTAATACAAAATTGTGAAATTTCTTTCAAGGTGTACGACTTTCGTGGGCGGTAGGTTGTATGAGGTAGTAACCACCTCAACTCCTTTAACATTTCCTTGGTTCGGAAACACGGATGTTCCCCAGTTGTGATGAGGATTTTAGGATTCTTTTTTTCCTTAAAGAAACTAGAAAATTCGTCGTCCGCTTCGTCCTTAACGATTTCAGCATCATCTTTGTCATCAACTATGGTTACATCAGGATAACGAAGTCGTTCCTTCGTCTTTGGAATCTCTTTTGCAGGGGCCCTATCCTTTAGTGCCTTGCGTTCCTGCTCTCGAAGCTCACGCCGGGAGCGTTTGGTATCCTTCTTCTGCTTTAATATTTCCGTGTACAAGGCAGACTTGCGAATCGGTTGGCGTGTGTTGCGAAACTTCTCAACCAACTCGGGGTCTACCACCAGCGCATCGTTGTCTGGCTTATATTGTCGCCTTATAGCTGGGCGACCGCTCTTCTTCGAGCGCGCACCCCTACCCATTCTAAAGTGTGATGCTGACAAATCAAAGAAAATAAAGAAAAAATGAGATGTAAGTGCAGGCATGCATAGATTCAGTTATCTTAAACGTATTTATAATAAAACACAAGAATTTGTATGACAACATTAATGCATTACAACTAAATAGCGGTTTTGTGAGAAAAAAAACAAAAGAAGGAAACAGGAAAATGAAGGAGAAGCTAATAAAATCTGTCCTTTTTGAGTGATATGAACACAACAAAGGGGAGAAAAAATCTTATTATCCCCATCATACATAATATAAAGTGTTCACTATAGAAGTCAAAATAAAAGCAGAAAAGCTTCTGAGCAAATTATACCTATGCTCTTCCTCCCCCCTCTCCCCCCCCCTTTACTTTTTCCCACAAACACACAGTCCATATATAAAAATGGGAAATTTCGGATATGACTGAGAAGTTGTAAGATTCTGAAGAAGTCTTTTGCATATTTATTTTGTTTCCCATGATTGACAATCCCCACATTGATCACTCTTTTAAAGTGTATTTTCGTCCTTGATAGACCGTGTGCTTTTTTAAACATAATTTTAAAAGACCATCAAACGAGGGGTGACTTTTCCATTCCGAAAGAGAAGGATGAGCCGCAAGGTCCGCCCTGGTTCGGGGTCCCGTGGTGAGAACCTCCAAAACCTTCCGCTCAAACGCCGCAGTGAGCTCCTCGCCCGTGAGCGCCAATGAGTTAAACGATCCATTCAGCGAGGCCCCAATGGCCGCTACCGGTTCCTCCTTTTCAGGGCTACTTGGATCCACCAACGGGTAATCGTAAGCGGTGCGTAGCTGCATCACCGTATGCTCCTCCGCCACGTCCTCTCGCTGGCGCTTAAAGTCCTCATAAACCTCCTCGGACCCCGTAAACCCGCCCTCCACACTGCTGCCGTGAATGACGACATGCGGGTTAAAAGCCGCGGTCGCGACCCATACCGTCGTACCGTCGCCCAGCGGAATCCCATCCGTCACGGCGCAGCACGCCTGGAGTGGGATTTCCTGCAAAACCGGGCTCAAGAAGCCCTTCCGGAGCACGCGCTCGATGGCCTCGGCGGAGTTCGGGCCGCGCGCCGACTCGACCAAGAGCCCGAGAAGGCACCCCGCCATGGGCCCCGTGGCCGCC